ATATATAACTGGAACTGCTATATAATATTTTTCTCTCACATTCTTGGAATTCTAGGAAAATGGCTTGAAAGAAATCAAACCCTCTGTAATTTCTGACCCTCACCTGAAGCAAATTGGTTCCATATAAATAGTGTCTTTATTTGCATAATGTTACCTTTAAAAAAGAAGACATTTGTTACATGCAAATTATCTGTTTTGTTAGTTACTTGAACAAAGGGCACCAGTGTTTATGTGTTAAGGATCAAGGTGTTTATAATTGTAATGTCATTTAGTTTACCAGTCTGACCTTAAACAACAGAAATGGCCTAAAGTGTGTATAAAAAGCACTTTGCATCACCTTGCTGCTGAAATGTTACCTTACCTTACCTTACTTAAAATAATTTGTTTGCAGTTTTGTTTAAGAACAGGACTTTGGGCTTTTTTATTCCAATATATCTATTTGTGCACTTCTTTCAAACAATTTTCGTAAATAACTTTGTTTCAATTAAAAAAAACAAGCATAGGAACAAACCAAAATTCTATAGATATAAAAGAGAAAAGAAAAATCACCAGGAGCAAAGAAACCAAACGATATGCAGGCCACACCCTACGTGGGCCTTAAGCTGCCAGTGTAGGCTGCATAAACAGCTGTGAAATAAGATGGACTGGGTGATGTATGTTTGCTGACCAGGTGCTGCGTCGTTACAATGATGTTGCATTTTATATTGCATGACTTCAGTTGTCCTTTCACAGTATAACTTCCCAAAATTCAATATAACTAAAAAACGTTACACATAAAACAATTAAAAACAAACATACAACTGAAATCAAATTCTTCGGTCTGTGATAAATTTCCAAACTCTGCCATTAAAAGTAATAAAAATAAAGGAAAAAATTTTGCAGTAAAGTAGGAAAAGCTCAGCCATCTTTGTTTATCTGTTTAGTTTTCTGACAGCACAATAAATCCTGGGATATTGACGGCCACTTCGGACACTCAGATGCAGCAAGGTTTTGTCGGCTGCGTTTGTCAGCTGCATGAGTATAGGTGCATACAAATTGGAACAGCCTACAGCACTACACAGTGACGTAAGAAGCCTACAAGTGGACCCTACGTCGGCTGCAACCCCTGAATTGGGGTAAAGCCAAGGACTCTGAATAAACAAGGAGCAACTAATTAAAACACAATCACAATTTGGTTTTTACCACAAAATCAGAAACCCATGATCATGACACAAGAAAAGCAACAAATGTATAAAAGTTTACAAGTTGTAATTAATGAAGTGATGCACAGATGCTGCTAACCCTGAATCCTCAGTGATAAGGGGGGGGTCAGATAGTTTTAAAACTGGAAACAGAAGAAGGAAGGAAGTACAGAAGGACAGAATCAGTGCTGTTCTAGTAAACTCAGTTTTATTACCTTTCTCAGCAGCTAAAGTAGCTGAAGATGTAGAGAGATCAAGACAGACAGTCCCATTGGAGCAGCTGCCACTCAACAAATCACCTGAAAACAGAGATAAAACAGACACAAAGAGAGAATGGAACTAAAAAGAAAAAAAATAAGGTTGACGGATCACAATTATAGACAACGCTCAGTGACGTGGAAAGTGACTAAGAGACAGACAGAAACTGTTTCTGACAAGCTGACGCCTTCGAGGAGCGTTGGCCAACGCTGGCTGGTGGGTTGCGTCTCCTCGACCTTTCAGATTTGGCTGTCGCCTGAACCAGATTGTCTCAGCCCCTGTTTCAACAAGCTTTTGACTCCACTCGCAAAATACCCCACCCACTCCTGATTTGAAGAGTCTGCTTTTCTTCACCAATCAAAACATACACTCACTTTAATGAACGAAGACATTGAAACAGATTGGATCATTCATATCTAAAACAAGAAGACACTTGTGATTATATTGGGGGGAAGAAAACCAGTTGAACATGGGCTATAGAGAGCCAGCAGCAGCAGTGTCAGCTGAATTTAGATTACATTGATTAATCCTATTGATTTGTGGTCAAAACCACAAGCTTAGTGCTCCTTTTGTGTTATCAATCAAGACACTGAGCTGCTCTGTCTCTTCTTCGTCTGTTCCCTGAGCCTGGGTGTTGGGCTGCAGCTGAGACGGTTCATACTGTTCCCCAGGGAAAAGTCATTCATGAACTTGAATCCTATTACTGTTTAATAGAGTGTAAACACAAAGGTGGCCATAGAGAGTGTGACAATGCATTAACATCTCTGCCTGTTTCTGTTTGTCTTTGCCTCTCTGTCCACGTGTCTGGTGTCCGTCTCTGGCTCTGGCTCTCTAATAAAACCCTTCTGATTTCTTGCTGCTGCCACCCATTTTACTGTTGTTCTCCATACCTTGTCACCCTCACCCTTCCTTTTTCCTCCTATTGTCTGTCTCACCCGCCCTTTTCCTACAATTTTCACGCTCCAGGGTATCTACAGCTGCATCCACGGGGTACAGATCGAGGAAAACAAGTCAACTGCTGACTCGCCCTCCTCCACCATTAAGAAAAACATGAACAACACCCACTCCAACATCCTGAGGTTGCTCCGCACTGCCAAAGACATGACTGCGGTCCCGGGCATTAACGGCTCTCCGCACCCAGCCCTGGAGTACAGCCACAGCGGCCGTGAGTCGGGCATCTATGATATCCAGGAGCACCGACGCAGCCTGGTAGGCCACCCTGTAGATTGTACACCTGCACCACCCTACATGCCTGAGGACAACATGTTCAGTGACTACATCAGTGAGGTGGAGAGGACTTTTGGCAACTTGCCCCTGAAGGACAGCAACCTGTACCAGGACCATTATCGGCACCACCACCCGGCCTCAGCTCTGGGTATGTCCGGCCCACCGCCTAACAGGCCACGTAGCTTAGGCAGTGCTAGCTCGCTGGAGGGGGGCATGTTTGATGGTGACAGTTTAGGGGGAGGGGTAGCGCCCATCTTCACCACCCAGCCCCGCCCCTCCATGACTCACAGGAATACAAGTAAATTTGACCTGATTGCTGGCCACGCCCCTGCTGATTCCAGTCAGGGTGGGTTCAAAGGAAGCAATGTGTACGGCAGGTTTTCGTTCAAAGGAGGCGCCTCCAGCACGGGGCTCATCAGTGGGCACGACAGGTACTGTGGTGGGGGAGGATCAGGGGGCGACGATGGGAACATTCGTTCGGACGTGTCGGATATCTCAACGCACACGGTCACCTACGGAAACCTGGAGGGCAACATCAAAAGACGTAAGCAGTACAGGGACAGCCTGAAAAAGAGGCCAGCCTCCGCCAAGTGCAGGCGGGAGCAGGACGAGATAGAGCTGAACGCCTTCAGGAAGAGACCCCACCACCACACTGTCCACCACCACTTCCCCCACGGGCCTCTGGCACACCGCCCGGTCTCACCTCCCCTGGAGCGGAAGAGGGGAGGAGGAGCGGGTAATTCTTCACCTTACTTATTCCGCAAAGACAGAGACAGCCTGAGGGATTTCTATGCGGAGCAGTTCCGTTCCATGGAGGGCAAGGCCAAGTGGGAGCAAGAGGGTGGAAGTGGAGGAAGCGGTGTGGGCGGTGGTAGTGGTGGTGGTATCTGTAAAAGCTTAGTACCTGTGGAAGACTTCCTCAAAGGTAAAGGGAAGAAGCCCGAGTGCAAGGGTGGGCTTGGTGCAAAATCGGCAGGGCAGCAAGCCCACACCTGCTGGGAAAAGGGGGGTTCGGGACTGGGAGGGGGAGGTATAGCCGGGGGTGATTGGGAGTGTCGTAACTGCCACAGTGTGTGCCACCACAGTGGAAGTGTAGGAGGAGGCAGCACGTGTCCGGCTAGCGGAGTTGGGGGGAGCAGCAGTCGCCCCAGCTCGGCTACGTGCAAACGCTGCGACTCCTGTAAGGTTCAGCCCAGCAACCTGTACAACATCAGTGAGGATAACAACATGATGTTCAGTGGGAGCAAAGGCAACCTAGGGCCCAGTCAGACACAGACTCAGCGCAGGAAGCTAGGGCCGGGAGGGAAGGTGTTACGGAGGCAGCACTCCTATGACACATTTGTAGACCTGCAGAGAGAAGGAGCGGGCCGCATGGGTGGGGTTGGCGTTGGGGGACAGTTTCCCCAACCCCGTAGTGTGAGTTTGAAAGACAAAGACCGCTATATGGAAGGTCCCAGCCCCTATGCTCACATGTTTGAGAGGTACTCAGGTGACAGAGATTCTCCTATGTTCGGAGGAGTAGGAGGCGATAGGGTGGCAGCAGGCTCCTCTTTCAGTTTGTACTGTGGAGGCGAGGGTGGGTTTCACCGGCGCTCAGTGGGAGAAAGAGACCTGAGGGACAGGGATAGAACTATGATGGGAGGAGGGGGCAGTGGTGGTGGTGGTGGTAGCAGAGGGGCTGGGACTTACTCCTTGTCTAAATCTCTCTACCCAGATAAGGTGAACCAGAACCCCTTCATCCCAACCTTCGGCGATGACCAGTGTCTATTACACGGTGCCAAACCGTACTACATCAAAAAGCCACAGACGCAGCAGCAGCAACAGCAGCAACTTCTCAACAACAGCCGAGGAGGAGGGGACTTCCGCGGCTCCATGGGAGCGACTTCTTATTTGCCCGCTTCTGCCACAGCCGGAGTGATGTCCAATGTGGGCACCAGGTACCCCAAAGAGCTGTGTCTGGGTGGGGTGGGAGGGCCCATGGGAAACCACCACGGGGCCAACAAACTGTTACCCGGAGGCAGGGACACGTTAGGTCTGGGTCAGGGACAGAGACCCTTCAACGGTGCCAGCAACGGACATGTTTATGAAAAGCTCTCCAGCATCGAGTCAGACGTCTGAGAGTGAAGACAGAGGAAGGAAGGTGGAGGGAGAAGGTGAAGCACGTGAAGAACAGAAAGGGAGGGAGCACAGAGTGTGAGGAGGCAGGACAGTGTGTGTTGTTCTCTGTTCACTAGAAGCAAAGAGGGGCCCCCTGCCACGCACGGGGGGCTAAAGTTCAGAGTGAGACAAGTTTTTAATGAGAAGAGAGGATTCTGGTGCTGCTCCAACGCTTTGGAGATCTAAAGGGGGAGCGTGTCGGAGGGAGTGGGAAAAGGTGAAATCAGTTCTCCAGACTCTGCTCTCTTCACATGCTCGTCGTCTTTCCCTCCGTCCCGCAGTTCAACACCAAAACAAACATTTCAGATTTACAATCATGAATGAAAAATCTACACTTCTGCTGAAGTAACAGGGTAAACTAACAATAACTGTATTGACGATGTTTATATTATTATTGACTATTATTCCGGTGTTTATTGATGATGATGAGTTTTGTTTGTTTTACAATTACATTAATTTAAATAGTTCATGTTACAGATTTATATGATGTTATTCTTTCTCAGCTCACCAACAGTACAGGAGCCCAGTGGACCGGCTCGACTGACGGTACAGATCTTTGTTGGGCTCCTGTATTTTGGACTCTTCTTTGCTATAAATTCTTCATGTTTGATTTTCTTTCTACTTTTCTTACTCTTAATTGCTGTGACGTATGTAAGAGGCATGACTCAACGAGTGCACTGTATGCATATATAAATTTGTGATTTTGTTTTGTTTTGTTATTTTAAGCATCATCATCGTCATACTTATTTGAAGTTTTTCATTACTTTCTGCTTGCCAGTGTCAGAAGGTTTTCTCATTTTGAGCTAGATGTGCCTTAAAGGGACAAACACTGATTTTATTTTAATCCATCTTTTGTTGGTGGACAGATCCACCTGCAAACATGCAGACAAATTGGTTTGATTGTAAAGATACCAGCATATATATATATACAATTAGTGAAAGATATTAGGTATTTATTTGGCACTATGACACAAAGCTCATCAGGGGAAATGCTCAAACAGTGGCTGGTTAAATTTGCAGATTGGGAACAGTGCAATATAAAGTATAAATATATTTATTTTGTGTCACTTTAAGGATGCAGTTGAACTTCCCACAGGTCAGTTCCTTTAAAGACTTTATCATTTTTTAATCAATCCTCAGCTCTTCATCATTAATTACTCAAAAACTATCAATGTAAATGTAATTTGAATTGCTTTAATGTTCTCATGGTGTTTCATCGAGTATAATTCAATTGACTAGGACAGTTTTGCCATTTAGGACAGGGACATAATGGACTCCCAGAGAGGGAGGCCACTGTTCTTGGGATTAGCAGCTAATTTATTTTTATGACTGCCATCAGAAACCCTGCCTGCCGTATTATACGACTCACATATGAGGAATTGGAGGAGCACACAGATTTAGCACTATATCATGTAGGTGGAAAGGCTAAAATCAGGATTGTAAATATTATCCCTCTTCTATAATGTCCTAAAAATGTTCATAACAAACTTGTTCTGAATTAACAATAAGATTTATAATACTTAAACATGAATACAGTCTGAATTTGAAAGAAGTGACATTTTGACATCTTGTATACAGTTGGTTGAGAATATTGGAAATATTTTTCACGCGAAGCTATCGGTTAGCCTATCTGAGCATCGAGCCTTGAAACCATGCAGAAGCAGCTCATCTGCGTGAAGACAACAAAATGTCCCCAGGAGCACTTCTAAAGCTCCGTAACAAACATATTATATCTGATCTTTTTAATCTGTGCAAACTTTTTAGTAAAAAAAAAAAGCACAATTTTATTTATTTTTTTACAGAAATTTCTTCAGAACTGGAACATTCCTGAAAAGAGACGGAGTGTGTTAAAATGCTGGCTGTCGTGTTCTGATAAAAGACAAAAACAAGCTGAAAAATAGGACTCCTGTCTGTCAATCACCCTTTGAGAAGAGGGTTGCCTTGGTGATTTCTGCTGCAGAAAGTTGAAGGGCAAACAAACGCAAAGAGTTTGGGTCTGGCAGATGGAAACAGGTTAGGTGAAGAGCCGCGAATACGCTGCTTGAAAAGAACAAATTGTGTGAAGAGGATCCTTTCAGGAGGAGCATTACGAGGCCGTGCAGCAGGGTTTTAAATCAAACCGGTCTTTGGGCTCACTGAGCTTAATGAGGACTGGGAGGCTCATGGTGGGAGGGGAGGGGGGTCCTCCTCAGCTGATCAGATCACTAAAGTATCACGAGGGTCACCCAGGATTTGGCTGATGAGCTCAAATCTATCCATTCATCTGTTTCTGTCTCCACTTTATCCTGTTCAGAGTTGTGGGAGGGGCTAACCAGCAGGTCAGAGGTCAGGTACACCCCACACAGGCAATTCCTACACATTTTATAGGACTGTTGCAAAGCTGACGCTACACTGTTGTTCATGTTTTTCTAATGAAACAATACTTTTGAAACTACGGCCACCACAGCTCATTCACTGCACTTTGGAGTTATGTTTATTATCATTTGCATTGCAGTTATAAATAAGAACCTCCCCTTAGTTTAATCTGTAAACTTTCATTAACTAAGGAAATAAAAACAAATACTGAAAATACCATTTGATTGGAGTTTTATCAACATTGAAAAAAAATAAAGATAAATATAAGGTGTACTTGCTTCTGATTAGATGGAAACATACAGTAAATGCTTTTTTGTATTTCCACCAAAGTACAAATATGTACTTAAATTTTGATTTTTATAAGCTCTAGGTTTAAGTTTTGCTTATAATTTGGGATAAAAAAAATGCTGCCTTCTCTCAAATGTCAAGTTCAGTCCACTGATGATCCTAAACAGGATAAAGCTGCTGCACAAAATGTATAAACATCTATCTGGTCTACTAGTAATATTTATTATGTGTTACAAATTATGCAAATCTGTAATTGAAATTAATTTAAAAGCACAAAAAGAATTATAAACCTATTTGGTCCAACATTATTGAAAGCAACATGTTTGAATTTTAATAAGAATGCACACCAAGCAAGTTTACTCCCCAAAATGAAAGTGCTTCTTCAAGTGATAGTTAGCTGGTTTGAAGAGATGTTCTGTGGAAATGTTATCAACAAATAATATCTTACCTGTTGTAGAACGCTGCTTCTTAAATCTTTAACCCAGCTTTAAAGTTTTTAAGCTATTTGTCAGTGCAACTAGAGGCAGCAGCAGCTAGCTGCTAGCAATTATCCAGCTGGAATATATTAATATTTAGGCTGAAATGTAATAAGTAACAGTTCATAAAACAGTATTTGCATAAACCACAGTAATTTTTGTTAGATTACAATTCTTTTAGACTTTAAAATAACTTTAACTTGCTCATGCTCAGACTAGCTCTTCAGTTTTTTCAAGAATTAAACCAAACTGAGCTCATATTAAGCTAGCCAGCTTCTTGTTTTGGAACCAAATGTTCATTTTTCTCAACTAGCTGTGGACAAGATGGCATCTCTTTAAATGGCTCACTGAGGACCTGGATCGGTGCATCGGTAGTTTGCAACTAAATTCTATCCTTTTTGCTCCTAATCCAATTTTTACTAAACCATAATATATAAAAAAAGAATCTGATTCCATATTTAGCTTTAAGTTCTTCTTACATGGCTGTAATTTGTTCTACACGCTGAGACTTTAATTAAGGAAAAAGAACCAACTGTCTTCAGGTTGGATGTCTATTGATCATGTCTCCTGGAGACTCGGCTCCGCACAGCTTTTCTGCTGTGTTTCATTTAACAATCTTTTTCTGATACAAACATGTTTACAGTTCAGGATGAGGACATTTTCAATCACTTTGTGTCTTAAAATACACTCTCACCCAAACTAAATGAAACATCAAAGCACACAGTGTGACTGAATAAAACTTTAATTTGTCAAACTTTCCTGCTCTCCCGGCTGGCGGGTCGGTGTGTATGATACCGAGGGTCGGTGTTGTTTTTAAGGATTTGCTTGCATGTGATTTGTTTTTCCTTGCTTCGTTTGATTTCTTTTCATCTGAAATTTTAGCCCAAATTTAAGGTGTGTTTTTCAATCCTTTTTGGTAATGTTATCAGTTTAACAGATACAGATGATCCATGTAGTACTGTAGATGTATTTGATTACTTTTGTTTCTGTGTGCAAGGGAAGACATCAGTCCAAGATTTATTTTGTTTATAATTACATAAATATTGCAAAACTGATTAAAGTCTCACTAGATACAAAAAAAAGACATTTTATGGTTGTAGAAGATTTCTATCAAAGCCGAGGTTATTATTCTTTTTAGTATTATCTCTACTGCCTTTTCTTGTGTATTTGAAACCAACCCATTATTTGTCATTGTACGTGCCTGGATACATACGCTTTGATTACCTCTGTGTGTACTCACATGGAAGAGAGGCAGAGTGTGTGAGAAGACTCTTTATTGTAAATGTATAAAAGCAGATGTACATACTTTACCTCACACTCATGGACTTTTGATAACAGCTGTAAAAAAGCAACAGAGTGCATCTATTTGGGATAAATCTTTGATTCCTATCCGTCCCTTCGCTAAACTGCTTTTGTAACGACTTCAGGCCAGGAAACGTGCAATCATTTATTATTACACTTAGTGCACACATTTAGTGAGTGAAGGTCTGTTGTTTTTTGATTTGGTCAAAGGCCATCGAAAAATGTTTTTCTCAAAGAAAAAAAATGAAGGACCTTCCTTTCAAACAGAAAGCACAATAGACGTTTTTACAGAGGTAATCTATTTTCCCCTCTTTTGTCTAAAGTCTTCTGTTGTGTTTTTTTTTCCCCCGCGGAGATTTAAACTCCACCTCTGAGCTGTACAGATTGTGAAAAATGTACATACGAGAAAATTCTAGTTCCCGATGGCATTTTTTTTTCCTTTTTGTATGGAGAGCTATTACTTGTGTGAAGAGAGTATTTCAGATTTGATTGAATATTTAGTAATATTGAAAACGAGATTAAACACATGTCAATGTGAAAATAAGTGCTGAGAAATATTCTTCTGTCTCTTTGGAATAAAAGTGTTGAGTATTAATAAAAAATGAGAAATCTCAGCGGAGTCGTCTCGTTTTATCGTGTTCGCAGGTCGGCGGGGAGGACGAGGACGTGTTTCCTGTTTGTCCCGTTTTGTCTCAGACCTTTTTTGTTAAAATGTGAACTGTTTTCTCGGCTTGATTGAAGATTTCAGCTGCTCGACAGTTTAATCTCTCCTTTGTTGTAGTTTTCATTTCAGGACGCACCAGAAGACTTTCATTGAGTCACCGTAATCAGGCCACCTTTTGACAGAACACTGCTGTTCTTGTGAAGCTGAGGGTCAGTGGGGACATGGTGGGGTGGATGTCTGGGTTTCCCTCCAGGGATCCAGACCATGGATGTGTGGAAGAGGATGGATGGAGTTTGATCCTTGAACCACCCATTCAGAAGTCTGGATCCCACAGATTGGTTATGTACAGGCATATTTTATATTGACACTTACCTCATGGTAGATAAGTGGCCCACACTGTTGCATCACAACAAGAAGATCAAGGTTTAGGCTGCCTTCAGGCCTTCCTTGCAAAAGAGATCTGTGATCTAAATGGAATTTGCCAAATAAATCAA